TACGGGGAACCATGCAAAAAACGCATCTTCGCACGGGCAGCCCGTGCGTTGGCCAATTTTTATTATGTGTGTGTATGTGTGTGCGTATGTGTGTGTGTGTGTGTGTGTATGTATATGTATGAGTATGTGTGCGTATATGTGCGTGTGTATGTGTTTGTGTTTATTCGAAAGCGAATGAATTTTGTTACCCACTTTTAACTGAACAATCAGGAAAACTAGGAGCTGAAATTATAGGGACATATTCCCACCCCATTTGCTGTTTCGCATTTTTAAATCAGTGCCCACGTTTGCCTAAACCTCACGTGCGGGCGCTTGAAAAAAAAAACACGTAAACTTTTTGACTGGGATCGATCCCGGGAGCCGACAAAGTGGGAGGCTCAATGCAGAGACGTTCTCTTTTCACGTTTGAGCTAAACATTTCAAATTCAACTATCGCAAACAGTTGGGTCGTGCTTGCATTGACACGAAGGCTCGCAGTTGGCGCTATGCCAGAATAATTTGCCATAATTTTTTCGGAATATTTGCTGTCCGTCTTAAATACCCATGCCTAAATTTAGTCCCGAATGCGCTTTCGCTATGCATTTGGGCAACTTAAAGATATGACGAAGTGGCGATATCGGGCACCGGATAAGTTGTAAAACATTTCCATGTGTGGTCTTTGTTCAGTTTGGAGGCTAAATTCCCTGCACAATGCTCATTCTATTGCAGCTTCAATAAATAACAGTGCGCACTAGAATAACCGGTGCGATCATGCGTTTTTTGCAACTCCGTCTACCGAACGATTATCTGTTAATGACTTTCACTACTTTGCACTTTGGTCTGTGCATAAGTGGTTGAAATGTTGAAAAATATTTAAAAATTTCACGCACCGGTATTTGAAAACTAAATTTGAAACCTCGGGGGGTGAACATTCTTCTAAAATTTCAGTCTCCTAATTTTCTGGCTTTCGAATGATTTTTGAGACAAAACTTTCACGTGGTTGTACGTGAAACCTCGGCATATTTATAAAATGAATTTGAGTTTGTGAAGCCTCTGCTTAGGCAGGAAACATTCTCCTGAAATTTTCAGCCTCCTAGCTCTTCTGGCTCCCGAAATAATGCTTTTTCTCCCCAAAACTTCCACGAGGACGTTGAAAATTTGCGGAATTCTACGCAGGCAAGAGATGCCACGCTAAAATTTCAGCTTTCTAGCTTTTGCATTTCACGAGATAATAATTTCCCTACCACAACTTTCACGGGGCCGTATGTGGTACCAAGGGGGCATGAAGGCTGAATTCAAATTTGCAGGGATCGTACGTTGATAGAGGACATCCTCTTAAAATTTCAGATTCCCAACTTTCGTGGTTTGCTAAATAATAATTTCTTCCGCCAAAAATTTTACGGGGCCGTAAGTGACAGCTGAATGCGTGGAAACACTGAATTTGAATTTGCTAGAACGTACGTTGGCAGGAGCTCATTGTCGTAAAATTTCAGTTTCCTAGATTCCGTGGTTCTCGAGGTAATAATTTGCCTGTCAAAATTTTCGCAGGGCCGTAGGTGGTATCCGCAGATACGGGGGAGGTTGAATTTAAATTTGCGGGGTCTCACGTGGGTGAGGAACGTTCCCTTAAATTTTCAGCTTCTTAGCTTTTGTGGTTCCCGAGTTGGAGGTTGCGAACAAATTGCTGCGGGCATACACACATACACACACAGATAATCTCGTGACAGTATGCGTTTTGTGCAGCTATTGCACAGCACAAAACACTTAAAAACGGGTAAATTTTGTTCGGATTTGATCATTCTCGTCTCACCACGTCCTGTTTATTGTCTAATTTGCGTTTCCATTGAGCCCGTTTTTCTTTTCCTTCCATTTAAAATTTTACAACAGCCATGCCGCTCCAATGATGCAATGCTACCGCTTCAGCTGACGTCGATTTCCCCTCGCAGTTAACATGAGTGCACTTGTTAAACTTTAAAGCATTAAAGCAACAGCCATTCTTGAAGTTAACTATCTCATTGCTTCAATTTTAATGTAAAAACGCACTGGGAAACCTGGTGCATTGCTACCTGGGTTAAGTGCTGTCCTTACATCGCTTTGTTATTTATTACCACAAATTATTGTTAGGATGGATTCTATGTGGCATCGGTCGGTAATATGGGAAGAAAAGCAGCAGCTCTTGTCTATGGGATTGGTAAGAAACGATTGGATACGGGCGCACGATTGTTTTGCGTTACCCGACCAAGCACTGGTAGAAGCGCAAAATTGGAAACGTTCGATGAAATCTCAAAACGTTTTCAGCCATCGACTCCAGAAGAGACCGGAAAGATCTGGAATGATCAGTTTGAAGGTTACTTTTGATG